TTTTTTATAAGGATGCTAAGTTACATCATCTCTCGAAAAATCGATCACGTATATAAGCAACGTTAACGAGACGCGCCTCGATAGGAACATCGAGCCAAATTAATTCCTACGAAGCCAATGTCACGTACATATATACATATGTATTGGTCATCCGCAGTACATATATATAGATATATATATACGCACACATACATACACAAAGATACAGAGCTGATAGTCCTGCAACGGCAAAGTACAAGGAACAGCCATCTTTCTCAGAAAGAAATTAAAGTTTTCCCCGAGGTATAGTCTTTCTCTCCGAACCTCTCTTTCTTGCTCGCCTTCCTCTTATTCATCTCTTTCTCTCTCTCTCTCTCTCTCTCTCTCTCTTTCTCTCTTCTCCTCTCGCTATCTTACGTCGAGTCTTGCTGTTAGGGCCAGGAAGGTCGAAGGATACTGCCGTAGAACGTCGTGGGATGCCATAGGGTGGTCATAGGGTGGCATCGGCTAGCCCATTGCTATTGTTTGTGACGCTCCCCGGGGACGGGCCTGCCCTTAACAGTGGCATGTGCCGATGACACTACCGGGTGTCCGCGATACCACTTGCCTCCGTTGCTCTTGATGTGTCTGTGTCTGATTACTAGCGATCCGAAGTTGTATCCTGCGGGATTATTAAATGAATAATCGTCGCGCGTCATAATTGCGTGAACTTTACAGCCGATTCGTCGGTGAAAATTTTAATCCCTTGATTTTTTTTTTTTTTTTTTGTGAACCTTTATTTGTATGCTATGTTTAGACGTGGCATATCTTTGCGTATACATTCGGACGAATTATGAAAATTCATTCCGCGCGTGCTTCATTATGCCATGCCGATGGTCCCGAAATTAGTTAACGGAAATACGAGTGTGCCAGCGGTGTCTATTATTTCCGGGCGAATTAGCCGGTTCAAAAGTCGTCAGCGACGCGGCAACTGCAATTCCATTTTCCGGCGAAGGGACCGCACACCCATGTTTTATTTCGTCGGCGGTTTCGGCGATGATATCGGCCGAGACGACCAATTAAAAACATATCAGCCAACAGGGCGCTTCGAACGCTAGTCAAATTGAAGCTCCCCAAAAATGTGAATTTTGACTTTGTCCTTTCGCGCAGCGAGAGATCGATGCCAATCATATAACAAAATGAAAATCCAAAATTCATGTATCTGAAAACATTACAACTCGAGCTTTCTAATTCTTGCTGTACGTATATACAATTGAACTAATATATTTAATATTTCTGCATATTTTATAAAAATGTTGAATCTTATCGCACAAGAGCTTATATGTGTCATGGAAAAATTTTAACAAGGAAAATAATAATATGCAATAATAAGGCGTACGATTCACGCAATGATAGAATTAAGCGAGTATCTCTTTAATGAGGCAAATATAAATTATAGGGTCAGCTTACCATAATAATTTGTATTGTCACGTGACGCTACTGCTCTCCCAATCTAGGGGTCGCCGGCGCTTAATTGGGCTGTCATTACGGCGCCTTGTGGGACTCGATTTAAATTACGTAAAACGATAGCGCGAGGTTAATGATAAAGCGACGACACGTGTAATCTAAAAATTATTTTTCCGTTGCACGCACATTTATTTAATGTAATTTAAGTCTAGTGCACACTACGAGAAATCACAAAGCGCAGAATCGCGCAAAAATAGGATTCTCCATAAACATTCCACATGTGCGATTTAAGATTCAAAGCGTTGGAAACATATATAGTATCACATTACTCGAATAATAGTCAAATATACGTACTGCCGTCGATACTATAAGTATCTTTACCGTATTGTAGATATATAATAGCTACGTAAAGTACGCTCGATACCGCGTTCGTGAGTATCTTTATACCGTTGCCGGTTCCTCGGACGAAATTCCAATTCCGGCGGAATGAGAACCGCAACTGTGAGAGCCACTGGCAGGATCCCGCGGGACCACTGGGAGCAGTGGGAAGCCTCTGTACCCGTGCTGGGGCTATACCAGGCTACGCCGTGGAGAGGGCGCTCCCCAAGGAGGTAATTACCCTCCCTGCTGCCGCCCGACCACCCACAAGCCATCGCAACTTCAACTCCTGCCGGAGTTACATGCTAATACAAAACCAAAACCGGTTCCCAACAGCTTCGCTCGCCGCCCGTCGAATTCCCAAAATTCATATACATACATACATACATACATACACACACACATATATATATATATATATATATATATATATGTATGTATGTATGTATGTATGTATGTATATGTATGTACATTGTGTGTATATACATACAATGACGATGGCTACAGGCGCGTGAAAAATGATGCTGGAGATGTCGCGATACAATCGATTTCTCGTATTTACGCGTAATATCTGATCGGATGCAGGGGAGGGATGCGTTTGATGTATAATGTCGTGTACAGATCGCGCGTAGAAATTGCGGTCACAATTTTTTTCATAAATTAAATTATCTTCCTCTTGCAAAAAGAGAATCACGTGGAGGGACTGTTATCCGCGTTAAGGGATTTTCGTTACCGCATAATGCTGCCCTACTATAACGCGGCGCATATATTTTCGCGCAATAGAAGCTAGCGAAAAACGCAAAACTGCATACGTTGCTTTAAACGTAAAAAACAGCGGGATTAATTTTGCATCCGAGAATAATGAAATAATAAATACGTGACGACTAGAAATTAGCGTGTTGCGCGAGTAATACGTATTTTCGCGTTTTCATCCTTTACAAAAAAAAAAAAAAAAAGAAAAAAGAAGAATAATGATTATTTCACACGAAGGAATCTCCGTATTTTTTTCCCCCAATTTCCCGCATTCCACTTCGTTATAAGAGCGAGAGACTCGCGGAGTTTGTTTTTCCGCAAAAAAAAAAAAAAAAAAAAAAAAAAGACTTTTATATTTCATCTGAAATTTTTATTTTATATTTCGTACCGCGTTGCGAGCCGCGTCGCTGCGCGGCCAATTCGTTTTTTAATTGGCAAATTTATTTGTCGCGTTCCGTACACGCGCGCGCGTCCACCGAAAAACGTCGCGTCGCGTCGCAACGATACACAAGGATATTACGATTTTACGTTCACGCAACACGCGTATCACGGCTCGATGACATTCTAGCCGCACGGAATGTCGGACGTAATGGTTCGATTTAGGTATCGGATGACGGCGATATCGAAACGATTTTGCGAACGGGAGAGCCCTATAGCCGGCGGTTTTCCGCGCACGAATTAAATATTCGGCGCACAAATCCAGGGCGCCGCAAAAATTCGCGATTGCGTGTGCCTACAAGTGAACGAATATAGGCAGTTTTTCCTACTTTTTTTTTCATTTTTTTTTCCGCGTCTGATTCTGCTCTCCGCGGTGCGCGTTTCAGTAACAACGACGAACTGATTACCAACGCGCCGTCCCAAGCGTGTGCAGCCTTGGAACTCCCAAAAGTCATACTCGTAAAAAAAAAGACTATTGTGCACCACGGACTTCCGGGTTATTTATACGAGTTATCTCGTCCCCGAAGCGCCCGCGAACCGCTCTCTCTGCGCCGCAGTTGTAGCTGCAATGTTCGCGCCGTGACTTACGAGCGATGATAATTCCAGCAGCTTGAGTGCCAGCGCGGTCTTAACGTTTTATTCCAGCAACCGCGGTTCTTGGCGCAACGTCTTATCAGTGAGTTATTCGCGCGCGGCGACGTTACAACATGGGGAAGAAATTAAATAAGGATCGCGGGCTTGCGAGCGTCTTTAGGAGATTTAATTGTTGACGGCATTGTCGTACCAACTGTTACATAACTGCAATTTTGTCCCTCATTGATAAGAAAAGATATACGATTGTCTTCTTCTGCTCTATATTCACTTGATCATCGTAATCTTGAACTGTTCTAGGAAAACGCTGGAATTTTTATAATTAAGATGTACGTGTATATGTATATATATATATATTTTTTTTTAATTAAGAGATTTGATCTATATCGGGCAATCTCTAGAGTTTGTTTCAAACTTGTCTCACGCGATCTAATAAAAACAATTCCTCGATACAAAACAAAAGTATACATACCGAGATTGACGCACGCGCGAATATTTCATTAACAGAGTGTGTATACGCTAATAACAGCGGCGCGATAAACAATATCGATCGACTTTCTCGTCGCAATTTCATATAACGAAGACGTACGGTGTAATTTTTTTTAATTTTTTTTTTTTTTCATCGTATTGACGCGGACGACGTAAAGTTCGATTATCGATGCGAGGCGGGCGCGCTTTGGTCGCCGCGGTTGTTTCCCGCAAGTTGTGCTTAAAGTCGCGCGTATTCCGGTGGGAAATTTGAATTTTGGCCGGTCTTCCTCGCATGTTATACACGTATATATGTGTCTGTGTGTGTTTGTACGTTGGTCCAAGGCGGTTCGGTCTCCTATGCGCAGGAATGGGCTGTGGGAGCCAATATCACCGGGGTATGGCTCCCGCGGGATTACCGCCGCGCCGCTCTTTTCCACCCTTTCCCGTATTATTCGCGTCCGCGCGAACGGCATCATCTGCGGCGCCAGGCATAGGCCGCCGCGCGGCGGCGTATCTCTCCGAGCTCGTTCCGCACGATCGCCCAAAATCCCATGAAATTTCAATGCGGAATCCCTATTAAGGGCCCGGAGAGCGGGTTGCGTGTTGATCTGAGCGCCGAGCTTGGGACCAACACACGGAGCGAGATACGCCGGGCGAGAAATCATCTGAAACACTCTTTATCAAATATGAGTCTTAATCCCTCAACGTGAGTTTTTCTATCGCGGATAGAAAATTTCTTGCTCGAAAAAAAATTAAAATTAATCTCAAGCCTCTTATTCGTGCGATCTGCAATTGCTCTGTACATTTGTAAGACGCAATTTTTGAGAAATAGGTATTAATTATATAGTAATAATACTAAAGAATTAATTATATAGGTTTGTTGGAAAATAAATTCTCGTAATGTATACGGTGTACTACATATTGTGATGTATTTTCTGTTTCAGATTACTTGCAAGATGGCAGGCCAACTTCCATTCAAGGTCCTGATCTGGAGAATCAGAACAGTCTCGACAGCGGTGAGTCATGTTTATTCATATCGAATTAAATATTTATTAAGTGCCAAATAAATTGTACATGATATTATTGTGGCTTTGCAAGCATGATTCTTGCGATATGGCACTTACTGCGTTTTTTAACGCCTAAATTGAATTATCTTTCCGTTTTACAATAATTGACCGCGTTTAGGATCGTCTAAATTATATAAGGGCAATCCTCAGTCATCCGTAAATCCTAATAGGCGCTCTATCATGCGATAAAAAGGGGTACCTAAAAGGGGTTGCTACCCTTGCTGTTTAAGATTGCTTACGTTTTAACTGGTAGAAAAGTCGAAGGTAAAGTTTCCGAATGGTAGTAGATTTTCGAGACGAAAGGATTTAAGGAGAAACTTTGAATTACGACGTTCGAGCATCTCGGAACAGCGTAACGGAGATTTCCGCTACAACATCGAAGGGATAAGTACAAAGTAGAATTGATCTCAGAGAGAAGGGAGCCATCGGCTTTTAACTTGGAAAAATTCCCTCGAAACAATGTCGAAATACATTTAGGTCAAAGCATTTTTAATATATCGAATTTTGAATTTGTGAATATTTTAAACAAAATTGAAAGCTTCGATAGTACCTAATGTTTAATACATTTTTTAATTTGGAAAAATAAATTTAATTTTCTCTCGAATATTGCTGGAATCATAAATCTGCATTAAATATTTTAATTAACTTGAAATCTTTTATATATTATATCTATATATTACTAAAATGCAAAACATAGATAATGAGATCGAGTTTCCTTGTACCTTAGTAGCGAATAGATAGTGCTCTCAGCCTTCTCGGTGCATGAGTCACGAATACAATGGATCTCATGCATTCGACATATACTTCCTGTAACTCGATTACCTTGTAACATCCAAAGCTTTGGTAAGGGACGGACGGATTGAGCCGACTTAAGTTGACTAATCTCTCCTCGGCTCCATAAAGCATAGGTAGAGTCCTCGATAGAGATGAATCTCTGTTGGACAGGCCAGGCGGAATGAAATCTTTTTGTTAAATTTATCGATTGAAAAAGATAATCTTATATGTAGAACAGGTAATAAATATGCTTTATTATTTTTGAGAAAACAGATTACAAGATAAATTTTTAAAACATCTTTTAGTCTCTCTTAAGACGTTAGATTACAAATTCTAATAATAACCATAAAATTAATTCAATCATATAACAATATTTCATACGAAACATATATATATGTATATATATGTATACGTCATAAAAGTTATTTATCGTGTATAATTTTTTTATCGAACGGAAATATAATATATAAATACATCCCTTTTCTCCTCGGGCTAGTATCGTCAAAAACTGTGCAATTTGTCAGAAAACGGCGACCGTCGCCTCGCCGGAAATTCACGAGACTCCTCGATGTCCGGCCCACCCAAACTCCCCGATGACTACGCAATAATTGGGGGATTACCGCTTTCATAATGGTTAACGGAGTTTCCGTGAATTCGACATACGTGTATATACGCGGTGATTCGATTAGCGCGGACTAACAGAGGGATCGGGCTTGAGTTTGAGACGAACTGGTAAAGTTGACCGGCCCTGCTCGACGTCGGGGTTGGCGAAAAGGGGTGGGAAGGAAGGGGATTGGGTCGGTCAGTCGACAAGCTTGGCCGACGGCTAGCCAGCTAGCTAACGCACTCCTGGGAAGACGTAAATGTGTCCCTTTAGTGCCAGCTTCCGTCCTGCGATACGTTCACCAAAGGGCTTGGTCACTTCGCCTCTCTATTGCTATCTCGCTCTCTCTCTCTCTCTCTCTCTCTATATATATATATATATATATATATATATATATGTATGTATGTATGTATGTATAGTATAGTATCTAGCGTGTGTTTCAAGACGCATCGCCATAAGATCCGAAAGATCGTTTGCTTTCTCGAAGCTTTGCGATCTTATCCGGCGAACTTTGTCTGATAAAATTCCTCGGCTATAAATGCATTGCTGAATTCGTACAATTTTCTCGAAATCTCGAATGATAAAGCAACATTTGGAAAATGTAAAAAATTAAATTGATTTCATTGTTTAAATCTTTCGAATTCAATTCATATAATGATTAGATTCATTCTGCTATATAGGAAATTAATTGGAACCATAAATCTCTTCTAATGAAGCACTTCGCGTGACTTCGTACGTTTCTTCGGTCTTTTGTCGCATGCGATAAATAATGCATTAATTTTCACGAGCCAACCAAGACTAATGGCAAATTAGACGTAAGAGCTGTCTACAGAGTAATTTCGCAAATTGCTGCGATATCGCGCGCGTTACCTTTTTTCCCTTCACGGCGCTTTATCCTGCATCGGGATAAGTTTGCGTGGCACACAAAGAGAATATGTAGCATGCACGCTACTGTGTGCAATATGAAAGGACCAGATTTAATGGCGGTTACCAGACGCTGCCATTCATACAGTTGTGGCAGTGGTAGTTTGTACTTAGAGATGCGCAAACCGAGCTTGCTTGTCGGACGAGCAAACACTTAATTAACCCTTCAAGTTAGCTTGCTAGTCTCGCGCGCGCTTTCTCTCTTCCTTCTTGTCTTCTACTACATCTGAAATGAAAATAGTACTTTGCCGGGTCGAGTCCGTTCATTGAATATATTTGCTGCTTACAGTTGGCCGAACATGCTTCAGAAAAAAAATAACATAAAAACTATTATATAAAACCTTTTTCTTTAATTTTTGTAAATATATAATTACATAAAGACTTTTCTATAGAGTTTCAATTTTATCGATATTTACATTTTACAAAATTATATATATGATATAATTGTTTAAAAATTATATATAGTGATATAATTGTTTAAAATTATATATCGTAAGTGTTTTTGTCGCGTTACAACAAAGGATTGAACACCTGACGGAAAGAGCAATAAAGTCGCTTCTCAAAGAAGATAATCTTCCAAAACTCACGCGGGATCGTCTTGAATTAAAACGAAGTCGTTTCAACCCTTCGCGAGCGTACTTCTGGGGGCTGCTTATCACGACGTAGTAGACCAAGGAAAAGAGATAGAGAGACAAGAAGGAAGAGATAGAAAGAGAAGACGCAGTCACCCAACATCGGTAAAAGGCCGTCATGGACAAGTTCGGATACTTCGTCCCGGCGGACATTCTCGGATTCGCAGAGATCCCAATCTCTTAGGCAGGTCGCATCTCTTTTCGGTTCCAGTCAGTCAGTCACTCGATCCTGCCGCCGCTCATCCCGTCCTCCTACACCACCTCCCCCCCCCCCCCACGAACCCCCCGCCACCCCCTATACCCTGGAGACCCATTGCAACTTTAAGCGCCTCGCATTACGGGCGTTCGACTCGTTTCTCTCCGTTCAGGCTTCGCCGCCGAGGCTGCTTCCCTTCTTTTCTGTGCGCTCTTAATTTAGCCATCTACTACTACCCCTCTAGGTCGCCGGAGGGCCACCACCCCACCGGGAGGAGCCCTCGAATTCATTTCAGATGTTTATCTCCAGCGGGATAGGATCGGCTCGAAAACGGATTAAGCTCGGACGATCGCGCGAGCTTTGTTGCGAGATCGAATTATCTTAAATCGTTTTATTTGTCGATATCAGATTGTTCTAATGAAAAATTTTCTAGGAATTTTGCGAAATATATATAGATATGATAAATTATCGTGGGTGTTTTTGGCTGACGACTAAATATTAAATAATGGCGTTACTTAATTATAAGAAAGAATAAAGAGTTATATAGACCATCTTTAGTTTCAGTAAAGAATCAATGTTTATGCGTAGATGTGTGCGTGTTATAAATGACAATTTTATGATATCTTCATAATGTATATAGGTAATCAACGGTACTCAAATTAAGCTCGGTATTATTTTAATAATGGCAACCGGACAAATAATTGCGATTTTACTGCGTTTCGTTAGCCGATTAATTATTGAAAGTTCGAAATGAGATAAATAATTAATAATTCACGAGTAAATGAATTACACAACGAATCGATTAATGGGACTGCATACTTTAAATTGCAATTAGTCAGTGGTAATTAATTTTTGATCAATCAATGGAGAAATTTCTTTTCAATCATATGAAATTTCGGAGTGATAAGACTCGCGGTGCACAAATGAATACGTATTATAATATTTCCCGCGGTTCACGAAATTGATTATTGAGTTCGCTCTTCGAACATTTTGGCTGTTGAATCACTAGCACGAACCTTGTGGGGTCGTAACAACCTCAGTTGACACGTTGAAAATTTAACTCGCGTCCGTGTTTAGAGTCCGAGGAAGCTCCGGAGTTCGTCATCTATTATTCGGCAGGAGCACGGCCTATCTTCGGTCTGGCATCCTTAAGAAGTATAGTGTTCCATCGGAATAAGCGATGAGGACTTCGCAAGAAATTCCATTTCGCAATTGTATAATTAACACAGCCATAACTACAAGATTCTGATAAAATCACATTTTAGTGTTGGGATAAACTTAATGTACAAAAAACAATATTCCTCATTAAAATCGAAACCGACTTCTCCCAGCTTAATTAGAGAGCTTACGCAACGCACGCACACAGGACACGCGATTTTTAAAGTTTTGACATAAAATCTTATTAATTACATTCTACCTCCCTTTGAGCCAAATTATATTAAAATAAAAGATTATATCAAATTAACCGAAGAGAAAGATTTAAAAAAAGTATATTTCCAAATTTAATTATGAAACGTAAAAATCACGTTTAAAATATCGACTCGCTATTTTCTAAAAATAGTTTCCAGCAAATGAAAATGTGTGATTATTCGGCGTAAATCGATAAATCGCGGATGCATCTTGCCGCATTCGCTCGGTATAAGTGTCTGCTAATTGACAGCGTCGCCAGAGATGGAAATTGTGTCAGTCGCGCGGGCGCGAACGAATATATATCGCAGTGATGATCGCGGACGGTTAATTTTACCCGTTCATCCACAGACGAGATTCGCCGCTGTCCAACCGGCTCGGTGGTCGGTGATGGTAATTAGCGCGGACGGAC